GGAAGGACCAAAAGTAGTAGTAGCAGTGATATACAACACTCCACTAAACGACAGAAGACCCCAGGAAAGAGTATGACAACAACAACATGGCAGTTAACATTATAAGTGAGAGGTCAGCTTCTGCTGCCTGTAGAAATATATCCCATCTGCTCATCATGGGGGACTTCAATCACGGAAGAATAGACTGGGAGAACAAGGAACCGCATGGAGGAGAGGAAACATGGAGTGCTAAACTATTGGGAGTTGTGACAAAAAACGTTTTAAGCAAACATATCAGGGAATTCACAAGAATGAGAGAAAACGATGAACCAGCAAGATTCGACCAAGTCTTCACTTTGAACTACTCTGACATAAGGGAAATCGGCTTCGAGGCCCCAGTAGGAAAGAGTGGTCATAGTGTAATGACGTTTGAATATCTGGTCGAAGAAGGCCTAATGTACTCAAGGAAAGGACCTGAAAACAAAAGGCTGGCATTCCGGAAGGGAAACTATGAGGAGAAAAAATTTCGGACAGATATAACATGGGAAACAGATCTCAGGAGAAAGACGGCCTAAGACATGATTGACTACATCACACAGAAGTGAAAGGAGGCAGCAGACAAGTTTGTCCCGGTCCAAAAGGGGAAAAAAACCAAATGCAGAAGAGAAACTCATGGTTTAATCAGAGATGTAAGCTAGCAAAGCAACGAAGTACAAGGGGGTGGAGATACTATAGAAATAACAAGACACTTGAGAACAGAGAAAGATACTAGACTTGCCAAGAATGGAGTCGTCAGGGGGAGAAGAGAGGCAGAAGGGCATCACGAAAATGACATAGCAAGCAAGGCAAAGACTCAACCTAAATTGCTGCACAGCCAACTCATGAGAAAAACAACAATGAAGGAACAGGTAATGAAACTGAGGACAGGGGCATACAGATTCACTACAAATGACAAGGAAGTGTGTGAGGAACTGAATAATAAATTCCAGGAGGTCTTCACATTAGAGCAAGGAGAAACTCTGGAGATAAGAGAGGGAATAGTTAATCAGGAACCACTTGAAGAGTTTGGGATTTCCAGTGAGGATGTAAGGAAACTTTTGCTAGAGTTGGATGTGACAAAGGATATAGGCTCGGGTGGAATTTTACCTTAGATACTAAAGGAAGGTGCAGAAGCATTGTGTCTGCCACTCTACACAGTGTATAAGAAATCACTGGTTCAATTCAGTTCACCAAAATTTTCATGAAATTCCAAAATTTTTAAAGATGCCTAATGTAGTCCTGGTATACAAGAAGGGGGGTAGACAGGAAGCACTCAACTACAGGCCTGTGTCCCTAACTTGCATACCATGAAAGTTGATGGAGAAGATTGTGCGAGAAAGCTAGTGGAAAATCTGGAGCGAAAGAACTTTGTAACACAACATCAGCATGTGTTCAGGTAGGGCAAGTCCCTTAATCCTGCCTCACAGGATTAATTGAATTCTACGACCAGGCAACAAAAATCAGGCAAGAAAGAGAGGGGTGGGCAATCCAAACTGCATATGTGTGGATTGCCAGAAAGCCTTTGACACTGTTCCATACAAAAGACTAGTGCATAAGCTGCAGATTCAGGCAGGACTGACAGGGAAAGTATCCCATTGAAAAAGAAAGTACCTAAACAACAGATGACAGCGAACCACTGAGAGGGGGTGAGGTCTCAGATTGGCGAGGCGTCACCAGTGGAGTCCTACAGAGATCAGTCCTTGGACCTATACTGTTTCCGATATATGTAAATGATCTCCCAGAGGGAATAGATTCGTTCCTCTCATTGTTTGCTTATGATGCAAAACTTCTATGGAGGACTAAGACAGAGTAAGGTAGCATGAGGCTACAATATGACCTAGACAAACTGAATAAATGGTCCAACAAATGGCTACTAAAGTTCAACCAAAGTAAATGTAAGGTAATGAAACTAGGCGGTGGAAACAGGAGGCCAGACACAGAATACCGAATGGGAGATGAAATCCTTCATGAAACGGAGAGAGAGAAAGATCTAAGAGTTTATATCATGCCAAACCTCTCCCCAGAAGTTCACATAACTATAATAACATCAGCGGCGTATGCAAGGCTGGCTAACATCAGGACTACCATCAGGAACCTGCGTAAGGAATCCTTTAGAATCTTGTATACCACATATGAAAAGCCAATCCTGGAATATGAGGCCCTAGCATGGAGCCCGTACCTTATCAAGCACAAGACGATGCTGGAAAAAGTTCAGATATATGCCAATAGACTAGTCCCAGAACTAAGAGGCATGAGCAGCTGGGAAAAGCTGCGTGAAATGCACGTCACGTTGCTGGAAGATAGGAGAGCTCGGGGAGACATGATCACTACCTACAAAAATTCTAAGAGGAATTGACAGGGTAGATAAAGCTAAACTATTCAACACTGGTGGTTCGCGAACAAGGTGGAGACTGTGTACCCAAATGAGCCACAGGGACGTTAGAATTTTTTTTTCAGTGTTGAGTAGTTAACAGATGGAATGCATTAGGCAATGATGTGGTGGAGGCTGACTCCATACACAGTTTCAAAAGTAGATATGATGGAGCCCAGTAGGCTCAGGAATCTGAGCCTACTGATCAGTCCTTAAAGTTGTGGATGGAGGTGGTTTCCATAACTTTTTCTTTCAATCCATTACGCTTGTTGACTACCTGTACAGGGTACGAGGAAGGGATCTATCAGAGGAAAGCGATGATGATTGATAAAGATTAAGCCACCCAAGAGGTGGCACGGGCATGAATAGCCCGTAAAGTGGAAAGGGCCAAGCCATTACGACTATATAGCACTAGGGAAGTGGTCGGGATAAGGATTTGGGATGGGACGAAGGGGGGGGGGGGGAGGAAGGCACGGGGTATCTTCTTACATTCTTTCATCTCATATGTGTTTCTAGCTCCCATTTTTGTCCTCTTGACCTTTTTTTCCTCAACTTAAAACTTGTTTTTTCTCCTCAACCACCAACCACTTGGGGTTGAAGGTAGAGCGACGGTCTCGCTTCATGCAGGTCGGTGTTCAATCCCCGACCGTCCAAATGATTAGGCACCATTCCTTGCCTCTGGGATGGGACGGGGTTACAATGAGTCCCGACCTTAGGGTCTGACAGCTGAGTGGACAGCGCTTCGGATTCGTAGTCTTGAGGTTCTGGGTTCGATCCACGGTGGAGGTGGAAACAAATAAGCAGAATTTCTGTCACCCTGATGCCTCAGTTCACCTAGCAGTAAATATGTGTACCTGGGAGTTAGACAGCTGCTTCGGGCTGCTTCCTGGGGGGTGTGTAACAAAATGGAAGCCTGGTCAAGGACCGGGCCGCGGGAACGCTAAGCCCCGAAATCATCTCAAGATAACCTCAAGATGCTGCTAATGTCATCTAAAACTATTGTCTCACCTTCCCTCCTGACTCTTGGGTATTGAGTTCTGCCTCTCTTAAGTGCATCTCTTTTTTTTTCCCTCCTCGTTCCCAAACTATGTACCTTATGCATCACCTTTGGTGCTCACCTTTGGTGTTCACTTTTGGTGCTCACTTTTGGTGCTCACCTTTGGTGTTCACCTTTGGTGTTCATCTTTGGTGTTCACCTTTGGTGCTCACTTTTGGTGCTCACCTTTGGTGTTCACCTTTGGTGTTCATCTTTGGTGTTCACCTTTGGTGCTTACCTTTGGTGCTCACCTTTGGTGTTCACCTTTGGTGCTCACCTTTGGTGCTCACATTTGGTGCTCACCTTTGGTGTTCACCTTTGGTGCTCACCTTTGGTGCTCACATTTGGTGTTCACCTTTGGTGCTCACATTTGGTGCTCACCTTTGGTGCTCACCTTTGGTGCTCACCTTTGGTGCTCACCTTTGGTGCTCACCTTTGCTTCTAGGTATTGCATATATGGGTCTACTTCGCCTCTCTCGACCGCCCGCGCGTGTAGGTGGTCCGTTGCAGCTGTACATATCAGAGCAACAACTTGTGTCTTCTCATCTGCCGTCTTCCCTTCCAGTTCCTTCCCCCACTGGACGTCGCTCGGGAACTCCCAGTCACTTGGGCTGGACGGTAGAGCGTCGGTCTCGCTTTATGCATGTCGGCGTTCAATCCCCGACTGTCCAAGTGGTTGGACACTATTCCTTTCCCCCCGTCCCATCCGAAATCCTTATCCTGACCCCTTCCAAGTGCGAAACAGACGTAATGCATTGGCGCTTTCCCCTGATAATTCTCTCCCTCACAGTTGAGTCTCATCTTCCTCATGAAAATAAAGTGATTAAAGTCACTTTATTTCACAATGAAATCTTAATGAAATTGTAAATCGGGACGTAAGAGTGTGAAGGCCACTACTGTAGACCCGAGTGTGTGGTCGGGTTGGCTGTAAACCCCTGGGTGTGCTCTGGCTTGGGACCTCCGGAACCTCCGAGTGAATTCAGTCGAGTTTCAGTCTAGTCGGCTTTAGTAGCACCGTGGCCGAGTCGGTTAGTCAGGCAGGTGTCTGAGACTCACCAGAACGCTGGTTCAAGTCCTCTTCATAGCCTCAAAATGATTATAATGAAAATAATGATTAACATAGTAATAATTAACTTCATCAAATATTTTTTGTCCAAACGACAACAACTTGTAACTCTGAGCAAAATAACGATGCTTTTATAATAAGTCAATATACATTTTTATTCGAATTCCCATTTTAAAACCAGAATAAAAGCTACTAGAAAAGCAGATACTAGTCAATAAAAAGGCATATCTCTCCCACACTAAGGACCTAGAACACCGTAGAAACTATTACTGAGGCAAATTCCACTGAAGTCTTGATTCTTAACAAGAGTAACTTTTTGGAGTGAGTTTACGTGTTCCATTACCTCTCCGTGGGAAGTTTGAACTTTCCACCCGAGTTTCTTATTTAAGAAAGTTATTTTTCAGTAGCCGTGATGATGAATCCCTTCCCTCTTGTGGGGACCCGCCTCTCGTGTATACTGAGAACCAGTGACCACACAGCGCACCATCTGTATCGCTCTGTGGTATACCTCAGTGGCCAGCCGTTGGCGCAGTAGGTATCGTTGGTGCAGTAGGTATCGTTGGTGCAGCAGGTATCGTTGGTGCAGCAGGTATCGTTGGTGCAGCAGGTATCGTTGGTGCAGTAGGTATCGTTGGTGCAGCAGGTATCGTTGGTGCAGTAGGTATCGTTGGTGCAGTAGGTATCGTTGGTGCAGCAGGTATCGTTGGTGCAGTAGGTATCGTTGGTGCAGTAGGTATCGTTGGTGCAGCAGGTATCGTTGGTGCAGTAGGTATCGTTGGTGCAGCAGGTATCGTTGGTGCAGTAGGTATCGTTGGTGCAGTAGGTATCGTTGGTGCAGTAGGTATCGTTGGTGCAGTAGGTATCGTTGGTGCAGTAGGTATCGTTGGTGCAGTAGGTATCGTTGGTGCAGCAGGTATCGTTGGTGCAGTAGGTATCGTTGGTGCAGCAGGTATCGTTGGTGCAGCAGGTATCGTTGGTGCAGTAGGTATCGTTGGTGCAGCAGGTATCGTTGGTGCAGTAGGTATCGTTGGTGCAGTAGGTATCGTTGGTGCAGTAGGTATCGTTGGTGCAGTAGGTATCGTTGGTGCAGCAGTTATCGTTGGTGCAGTAGGTATTGTTGGTGCAGTAGGTATCGTTGGTGCAGTAGGTATCGTTGGTGCAGCAGGTATCGTTGGTGCAGTAGGTATCGTTGGTGCAGCAGGTATCGTTGGTGCAGCAGGTATCGTTGGTGCAGTAGGTAACATTGGTGCAGTAGATAACATTAGTGCTGTAGGTATCGTTGGTGCAGTAGGTATCGTTGGTGCAGTAGGTATCGTTGGTGCAGCAGGTATCGTTGGTGCAGTAGGTAACATTGGTGCAGTAGGTAACATTGGTGCAGTAGGTAACATTGGTGCAGTAGGTAACATTGGTGCAGTAGGTAACATTAGTGCTGTAGGTATCGTTGGTGCAGTAGGTAACATTGGTGCAGTAGATAACATTGGTGCAGTAGGTAACATTAGTGCTGTAGGTATCGTTGGTGCAGTAGGTAACATTGGTGCAGTAGGTAACATTGGTGCAGTAGGTAACATTAGTGCTGTAGGTATCGTTGGTGCAGTAGGTAACATTGGAGCAGTAGGTAACATTAGTGCTGTAGGTATCGTTGGTGCAGTAGGTAACATTGGTGCAGTAGGTAACATTAGTGCTGTAGGTATCGTTGGTGCAGTAGGTAACATTGGTGCAGTAGGTAACATTAGTGCTGTAGGTATCGTTGGTGCAGTAGGTAACATTGGTGCAGTAGGTAACATTAGTGCTGTAGGTATCGTTGGTGCAGTAGGTAACATTGGTGCAGTAGGTAACATTAGGGCTGTAGGCAACGACTCACAACTGATGACGTTCGAACACTTCCGGAACAAGTGCTTCACTGACGAATTTTGTTCGAACCACAACGCTGTAAATGCTTCACCCATGTAACACAAATCCAAATAACCGCTAATAGAACCTAAACACCTAACCTAACTTATGCCTATATATGCACAATATGCTAATATATTATCATATTAATTTATATTGGAGAAATTCCTGTTTTTTAAATTTATGAATGCGTCTGTGGGATCGACCGCTGGATGTATTGGATTCGAATGAAGGACTGTTGCATACGTCATATACAAATAATCTCCAACAGAACCTAAATACCTAACCAAACATAACCTACGTCTAACCTAACGTAACCTAACCTAACCAAACATAACCTACGTCTAACCTAACGTAACCTAACCTAACCTGACCTAACGTAACCTAACCTAACCTAACCTAACCCAACCTAACCTAACCTAACCTAACCTAACCTAACCTAACCTAACCTAACCAAACATAACCTACGTCTAACCTAACCTAAGTCTAACTAGACGTATAATTTGTTTGTCTAAAAATATTTTTTATGAGATTTTTTTTAATACACAGTATTTTAAAATTGACGAATGCGTCTGGGGAGTCCGGCCGCTGCTTTAAACAGCCTAGTGTGAGGATGAGTTGTGTGAGTAACCCATTTTTCATTTACAAACATGTGGTTTGGTGGGTGCATGGAATGGACTTTACCCTTTGTTTATGAGGACGAGCTGATATTTGTATATTCAGAAAATGAATTATAAACGAATGGTAAAATGGCAGATGTGAGTTCTGTGAGTGACGGTGTATGTTGCTAGAGACTATGACGGTGTATGTTGCTGGAGACTGTGAAGGTGTATGTTGCTGGAGACTGTGAAGGTGTATGTTGCTGGAGACTGTGAGGGTGTATGGTGCTGGAGACTGTGAGGGTGTATGTTGCTGGAGACTGTGAGGGAGTATGGTGCTGGAGACTGTGACGGTGTATGTTGCTAGAGACTATGACGGTGTATGTTGCTGGAGACTGTGAAGGTGTATGTTGCTGGAGACTGTGAAGGTGTATGTTGCTGGAGACTGTGAGGGTGTATGTTGCTGGAGACTGTGAAGGTGTATGTTGCTGGAGACTGTGAGGGTGTATGTTGTTGGAGACTGTGAGGGAGTATGGTGCTGGAGACTGTGAAGGTGTATGTTGCTGGAGACTGTGAAGATGTATGGTGCTAGAGACTGTGAAGGTGTATGTTGCTGGAGACTGTGAAGATGTATGGTGCTAGAGACTGTGAAGGTGTATGTTGCTGGAGACTGTGACGGTGTATGTTGCTGGAGACTGTGAGGGTGTATGTTGCTGGAGACTGTGACGGTGTATGTTGCTGGAGACTGTGAGGGAGTATGGTGCTGGAGACTGTGAGGGAGTATGGTGCTGGAGACTGTGAGGGAGTATGGTGCTGGAGACTGTGAGGGAGTATGGTGCTGGAGACTGTGAGGGTGTATGGTGCTGGAGACTGTGAGGGAGTATGGTGCTGGAGACTGTGACGGTGTATGTTGCTGGAGACTGTGAGGGAGTATGGTGCTGGAGACTGTGAGGGAGTATGGTGCTGGAGACTGTGAGGGTGTATGGTGCTGGAGACTGTGAGGGAGTATGGTGCTGGAGACTGTGAGGGAGTATGGTGCTGGAGACTGTGAGGGAGTATGGTGCTGGAGACTGTGACGGTGTATGTTGCTGGAGACTGTGACGGTGTATGTGTGGACAATGTGTGTTTTGGGAAATTGATTCTACGTCGATGACGTTGATTTAGCGTCAACAATATTTATTCAGTATAGATTGAAGTTTTGCCCACTTCCAGAGAGATAAGAGGGATCTTCCAGAGAGATAAGAGGGATCTTCCAGAGAGATAAGAGGGATCTTCCAGAGAGATAAGAGGGATCTTCCAGAGAGATAAGAGGGATCTTCCAGAGAGATAAGAGGGATCTTCCAGAGAGATAGGAGGGATCCAGCAGTGAGAATGGGAGAGAGAATGTGATGAAGGGTCTGGGGAATGGAAGAGAGGATGTGACAATCAGAGAGAGAGAGAGAGAGAGAGAGAGAGAGAGAGAGAGAGAGAGAGAGAGAGAGAGAGAGAGAGAGAGAGAGAGAGAGAGAGAGAGAGAGAGAGAGAGAGAGAGAGACAGACAGACAGACAGACAGACAGACAGACAGACAGACAGACAGACAGACAGACAGACAGACAGACAGACAGACAGACAGACAGACAGTGACCCAGGCACCCTCGTATACCCCGCCCCTCACCTAGTATAGTCACACATGTACACACACACAGCTATCAACACTTGAGCTTCATCGCACAGTATCACTGCAAAAACAATGGATAATCCCCAAAATGTAACGCACGTTAACAAAAATATATATATTTCTTGAGCTCCGATCTTGGGTGAGGGTCAATAGCAGCATTAACGGGTTGGTTCACCTAATGTATATCCCTGGTTCGCGGCGGCCCCACCCACCGAGGCCCTCCTGGCCAGAAAATGGCCCACTGGTTCCCCCAGACCAATACTCTCCAATTATTGAGTTCACGGCTTTTCCGTGCGCTTTAATTGTCTTGAGGCCGAGTTCGTCTCTAGTCCATTCAGCCGACCTGGGGAGAGCAGTGGTTTATATATCTCTCTCTCTCCACCACTTGCTTCCTCTGGGTTATATTGGTTCCTACCACCTGCTTCCCCTGGTTTAAATCTCTCCCAACAAACTGGTTTCCCCCCCTGGTTTAATTCCCTGCCCCAACCAGCTGCTTCATCAGGCTTAAATCCCTCCCCACCACCTCCTTCTCCTGACTTTCGTCACCCCCACCACCACCCACCAGCCCCCAACCAAAGCTTCACCCTGGCTTTGACCCCCCCCCCCCATCACACCGCCAGCAGCCAAAACTCCCAATGTTTTGACGATGGCTTAACTGGTGATGGGCGCTGGGGGAGTACAGTGAGTTGTTTTTACAGCCAAGTGCTGTATTGTTGCAGTTTTTGCCTTCATGTGAGGGATGGATGTGGCGCTGTCGTGCGGCCGCCCACTCTCCTCACCTCACGCCCCTCACTCTTACATATTGCTTTTACACATGGCTTCACTCTTATATATATTGCCTTTGCACTTTGCTTCATCCTTATATATAATAGTAACGTATTGCGTTACTTTTATTCATAGCATTTACACATTGCTTCACTTTTATGCAAATTGCCTATTTGAACGTAAGGAATCGAGCTCCAACTCTTGGGTCCCGCTTTTCTAGCCGCTGGTTGTTTAATGTATTGATTCCTGGTCAATTTCCCTATCATACCTGCTTTTAAAATTATGATTGGAGTTAGCCTCTACAACCTGCTCCATTAGGTCATTCCATTTACTCACTACCCTCACGCTAGAGGAAAACTTTCTAACATCTCTATGACACATCTGAGTTTCAAGCTTCCATCCGTGCCCCCTTGTTCTGTTGATATTCATTGTAAATAGTTCCTCTGTGTTCGCCCTGTGTGTGTGTACTCACCAAGTTGTACTCACCTACTTGTGCTTGCGGGTTGAGCTCTGGCTCTTTGGTCCCGCCTCTCAACCGTCAATCAACAGGTGTACAGGTTCCTGAGCCTATTGGGCTCCATCATATCTACACATGAAACTGTGTATGGAGTCAAACTCCACCACATCACTTCCTAATGCAATCCAATGTTCCTTCCTAATGCAATGTGTGTGTGTGTGTGTGTGTGTGTGTGTGTGTGTGTGTGTGTGTGTGTGTGTGTGTGTGTGTGTGTGTGTGTGTACTCACCTAGTTGTACTCACCTAGTTGTGTTTGCGGGGGTTGAGCTCTGGCTCTTTGGTCCCGCCTCTCAACCGTCAATCAACAGGTGTACAGATTCCTGAGCCTATCGGGCTCTGTCATATCTACACTTGAAACTGTGTATGGAGAGAGCCTCCACCACATCACCCCCTAATGCATTCCATTTGTCAACCACTCTGACACTAAAAAAGTTCTTTCTAATATCTCTGTGGCTCATTTGGGCACTCAGTTTCCACCTGTGTCCCCTTGTGCGTGTTCCCCTTGTGTTAAATAGACTGTGTGTGTGTGTGTGTGTGTGTGTGTGTGTGTGTGTGTGTGTGTGTGTGTGTGTGTGTGTGTGTGTGTGTGTGTGTGATAAAGAGAGGCTATTTTACACAAGGGACACGCGAACTAGAGGACACGGTGGAAATTGAGTGCCCAAATGAGCCACAGAGATATTAGAAAGAACGTTTTTAGTGTCAGAGTGGTTAGCAAATGGAATGCATTAGGCAGTGATGTGATGGAAATGTACACAGTATGGGGGTATACTCCATACACAGTCTCAAATGTAGATATGATAGGCCCAGGAAACTGTACATTAGTTCATTGCCAGTTGAGAGGCGGGACCAAAGATCCAGAGCTCAATCCCTGCAGGTACAACTAGATGAGTACAACTGAGTACACTCACACACATATTTAGGGCTCTTTACACAGCCTACGTGAGACCAGTTTTAGAGTATGCAGCCCCATCTTGGAGCCCCCACCTGAAGAAACACCTAAGGAAACTGGAAAATGTTCAGAAGTTTGATATGGAGCTCGTCTTAGAGTGGCGAGAGATTTGATATGAAGAGCGACTGAAGGAACTGACCCTGACGACGCAAGAAAAGAGATGGGAGAGGAGGGATATGATAGGAACATATAAAATCCATATTTTATATGATTGACAGAGTGGAAATAGACGTAAAGTTCATACTGAATTGTAACAGAACGAGGGGACATGGGTAAAAAGTGGAAACTTAGGTGAGTCACAGAGATGTTAGGAAGTTTTCTATTATCGTAAGAGTAGTGGAAAAATGGAATGCACTTAAGGAGCAGGTTGTGGAAACAAACTCTATTTATAATTTCAAATTAGATATGGTAGGGAAATTGAACAGTAGTCATTGCTATTAACAACCGATGGCTATAAAGGC